CCAACCTTAATGATTCTGTGATTCTGTAGATCAGGTTGCTCAGAGGCCCATCCAGCCTGCCCTGCAAAGTTTCCAGGGCAACTCTGGAACTCTAGGCAACCTGTGCCAGTGTTTCACCACCCTCACTGGGGAACATTTCTTCATTAGATCTAATCTAAATATGCCCTCTCTTAGTTTAAAACCTATCGGAACAGGCCCTGCTAAAAAGTCTGTACCCATCTTTCTTCTAAGCCTGCTTTAAGTACTGGAAGGCTGCAATAAGGTCTCCCCAGAGCCTTCTTTTCTCCAGGTTGAACTCTCTCAGACTGTCCTCACAGGATAGGTGTTCCATCCCTCTAATCATTATTGTGGCCTCCTCTGGACCCGCTCCAACTTGCTCTTTGCTGTGCTGAGGGCTCCAGAGCTGGACATGGGACAGGTGGGGTCTCACTATAGTGGAGTAGAGGGGCAGAATCACCTCCCTTGACCTGCTGGCCATGCTGCTTTGGATGCAGCCCAGGATGTGGTTGGCCTTCTGGGCTGCGTGTGCATATTACCAGCTCATGTCCAGTTTTTATTCCACCAGTACATCCAAGTCCTTCTTTGGCAGGGCTGCTTTTGCACCCTTCACACGCAGCCTGTATTGATACTGGGGCTTGCCCGAACCCAGGTATGGGACTCTGCACTTGGCCTTGTGGAGCCTCACGAGGTTCATACAGGTCCATTCCTTGAGCTTGTAAATAATGTAATTATTGTAAATTAATAATGTCTTTGTTGATAAATTCCAAGCTGTTCTTCACTGTTAGATTCATATAAGCAGACCATATGTGTGATCATGCATATTAACTAGTCAGACATCAGTAGCATTCTGGGAGTGATATGGTAGAGCTAAATTCAGATATTGGTTCTCAAAGTATTTAGCAGAAACTGAAGAAGTTAGAACATTTTATGTTCTTTTCATAAACTTAAATCAGGAGAATGATGACAGTCTTTCCATTGAAGCACCCAGCAAGACAGGGTATTCAGAAGCAGATTTGTCACGTCTTAAATCAAACAAAACTCATTTAGACTTTAAGTGTTAAGTTTCTTTCAAACAAAAATTCAAGAATGTTACAATAGTAGTTTAATGCAAGCCTGTTTATTTTATTTAATGTTTTCAAATCCACAGCAAAACTGGCCAGAATTCATGCACATGCTTCTGAGCAGTTAATTTGTGTTAACTTAAAAATCTAGTTGTTATAGGATCTTTCTATAGTCACTGAGGAGATGCTGATATCTTTCCAGAGGCTGTTCAGATCCTTGAGTTGAATAATGCTCTGAAGCTGCTAATGACATCTAGTATTATTGTGCTATAATATAGGTTAACAGGGTTATTTTTTCACTTGTTTGTTTGTCTACTGCATGATCTTTTCTGTCTCTTTTTTCCCATCCATCATCTTTCAAACTTCTCAGCTTCTCCCCGGACTAAGCTGTATTTTCAATATTAGGCCAGATTTAGCTCAATTTATGTTTGTTTCTTCTTCGTTGTTTTTCTTGATTCACTCTTCCCCAAGCCTAGCATGGAATCTATAAATGTTTACAATTGCTCTTTAATTAAGCAGGGAGTGCTTGAAATCATGATAGTTATAATGAATCTCAGAATTGTATCAACACCATTTGCCTTGGTTTACCTGGTAAAGAATTTGTTCCATCTGCACACATACTAATTCATTATCTTCCCGTTTCTCTCACAGAGATGGTTTTAGATAAGTAACAGTCCTGCAAAATATAAGCTTAAGTGGGAAGTGGTTTTATAACTATGGCATCACTAATTTGATTAGTATATTTTGTGATGAACAACACATAAGTAATGAAATAATGAATCTGCTCTGTTATTTTGAACTTGTCAGAGTAGTGTGGGTGTCTAATTCTGTTTATTGATACTTAAAATATATGTGAATGTACTAACTGCATGTTCATATACAAGGGTCTGCTCAAGAAATATCACCAGGAAAAACGCTTTTACCAGTTACACATCAAGATCTGCTTCCTCCCATTCCTGTGTCACCACCACCAATTGAACCAGGATCAGATGAATGGATTTATGTAGATGAACCACTTCCCAAGGTACATTCATTCATGATTAAAACTTTTAGAAATCAAAGTATATATTTTTCTCAGTATTTTATGCATATTCTACCTAAATATTTTGTCTCATTGCATGTTGTTTTCTTCAATATTTTTCAATGAAAGGTATACTAGTACTGTATTATAAATATCTAAAAAAACAAATAGCAATTGCTACTAAAATATATAAAATAAGAGAACACTTTAAAATTTGATCTTTTTTTTTCCCTGAATTCTTCACAATGATAATGAAGAATAGCACATGGATGCCAGAATAATAATACTTTTTAATGTTAGGAAGTACTAGCATAGACTAGTTTTAAAAAACTAGTTTTTTTAAAAAAACCCTAGGTCATAAAACTAGGTCAATTTTTTGTCTCTGACAAGGGCCAGTTGCATATCTTGTAGAAAGAATGTAAGAATGGGGAGAGTATGCACTGATCTTTCTCCTAGGATACTTTTTTTCTAACATGTTTTCCCCGAGGACATCTTTGTAGTTTCCAATGATCTGAAATTTAGGGCTTGTCTGAGATGACTTTGTACCTTCATCTTTGTGTTTAGTAACTCTTAGTAGACTTTTCTTCCGTGATTGTGTCTAGTTGCTTTTTTTGAAGCAATTACTTTTTGGTTGGTCTCCATGATATAGCCTGTATGATTATGCTCATTCTGAAAAAGTACTTCTGTCTGGGCTTTAAACCTGTTTGCTTGGGTCATTTTATGACCCCCATTCTTGTATTTTGAGATACAATGAATAATTCTATAATCATCCTCTGAAAGTATTTAAGATGTGACAAGCATCTATTACATCTTCATTTTGCTCAATGTTGCCTTACTTCTCCAATCCAGTCATAATCTGTTTGTGTCTCCTCATGTGGAGCAGTTCATATGATTCTAGCCCTTCTGTCTGTCTGTTCTAGTTCTACTGTTAACTTTTTGAGATGGGGAGATGGGACTGCATGCAATATTTGAGAGGTAGATTTGAAGGGTGCATAGTGATGCTTTGTACTTTGTTCTGTAATTCCTTTCATAATGTTTACCAGTTTTGCCTTCATGATTGCAATTAGCTTGCATATTCTGGGTTTTTTCTGGCCATGGGCTTTATTTTGCTTTGCATGACAGTCAGTCAAATGTCACTTTTGCAACACCAGAGAGTCACCTTAGTTTTTTACCAGCTTGAACAGTTGTGTACCACCAAATCTTGATACTTAAGTTCTCACTTGGTTTCTTCACTTAGTCTATGGGTATATCCAAAACCACAGATATTGGAATATTCTGCTGGAATTTCACATTCATTTTGAGTACTGCCACTTTTTTCCAAATACATGCCCAGGATAAACTATGTGTTGGTACAGTGTCTCTAATCAGTTGTAAATTAAAAGAAATACACAGTGAAAAAAAATCAGTAATATGATTTCATGCAATAATCTTTCTTATATTTGCTAATATAAGAAATGTAAATGTAAATGTAACCCATTTACAGCTAAATGGCTTACCAAGAAATATAATGATTAATTTTGATGTTTTAAAAAAATTCACAGGAGATACCCAGCTTTTTAGTACCTTACTGGGAAATGGTAGAAAATGCATATATGAGTACCATCAAAACTATACTTAGATGTCTAAGAGATGAACAACACTCTGTAATTTATTACTTAGCAGACATTAGGTGAGTAGAAATAGTAGCTTATTATATTAACATTAGTAGTTTTTGTTTTCCCTGTGGCATTCTGTATGTCTTTTAACACCAAAGTTTTTTTACTACAATTTACAGAAAAAAATTCCAAGATCATTTGAAGTGTCCAGATCTTAAGCAGGAGTTTGTTTCTCAGTGGCAATCAGATTTTAATTCAGTTGCTGATGACCTGCGAGAAGATGAGGAAACAAAAGCAGAACTACACCAAAGAGTTACTGTAAGTAAATGGCAAAAGTTATAATACACCCTAAAGTGTTCTTTCATTGTATACAAGCTCGATGTAACATGGATGATACTATATTTTTTTTTCCTTTTTACCACTCATTTTAAACTGTTTCACTTCCTCTTATACATAAAGTGCTCTTCAAAATTATTTCTCTGTTTTTTGGCCGTATCTTTCTTATATCATGCTGCTTTTTTTTTTTTTAGGTTATACTGCAGTATTCTGACATGTTGTAAAACAAATACTTCTCTGCTTTCTTTTTCTTTAAGTTTTATGGTTTTCAGAGACTTTACTTACACGTTTGGACATTTATAGAGTCATAGAATCATTTAGGTTGGAAAAGAACTTTAAGATCTTCAAGTCCAACTGCTAACCTAACACTGCCAAGTCCAGCACTAAACCATGTCCCTAAGTGAGTATAGAGAATTTCTTTGAAATGTTTTGACTCAGGTAGATCTTTGCTAGGTCATCCATATCCTGAGATTTCTTCTTCACAAAAATCCATGAGAGTAAAGGTCCTAAAAAGTTCAGAGCCAGATTTAACATAGACAGGAAGTGGAGCTATCTTTGAATTTATCATACACCCATTTCAGAACAGACATGATTTTTAGTTGAAAACGTATCAGGGAGTTCTCCCAGAAAAGGGGAAAAAAATGCTGGCAACATTGTTAATTGAAGGGAATGTTGGTGGAATCATGGATAAATTCACTGAGATGGAGAAAGCATTGGACATACTTTTCTAAACCATTATTTCAACAGAATGAAGTAGAGGACTTAAAAATCATAGAATCATAGAATAGTTTGTATTGGAAGGGACCTTTTAAGGTCATCTTGTCCAAACCCCCTGCAATGAGCAGGGACAGCTTCAACTAGATCAAGTTGCTCAGAGCCCTATCCAACCTGACCTGCAATGTTCCAGGGGTGGGGTGTCTGCCTCCTCTCTGGGCAACCTGTGCCAGTATTTCACCACCCTCATTAGGGAACATTTTCTTCCTTAGATCTAGGATAAATCTACTCTCTTTTAGTTTAACCATCACCCCTTGTCCTATCGGAACAGGCCCTGCTAAAAAGTCTGTCCCTATCTTTCTTCTAAGACCTCTTCAAGTACTGGAAGGCAGCCATAAAGTCTCCACAGACCCTTCGCTTCTCCAGGCTCAACAACCCCAACACTCTCAGCTTGTCCTCATAGGAGAGGTGTTCCATCCCACGGATCACTGTTGTGGCCCCCCTCTGGACCTGCTCCATCAGGTCCATGTCTTTGCTGTGCTGAGGGCTCCAGAGCTGGATGCAGAACTCCAGGTAGGGTCTCACCATAGCGGAGTAGAGGGGCAGAATCCCCTCCCTCAACCTGCTGGCCATGCTGCTTTGGATGCAGCCCAGCACATGGTTGGCCGCCTGGGCTCTGAGCGCACATTGCTGGCTCATGTCCAGGTTTCCACCCACCAATACATCCAAGTCCTTCTTTGGCAGGGCTGCTCTCAATCTCTTCATCCCCCAGCCTTGTTTTGATAGAGGGTGTTACTCCAACCCAGGTGCAGGACCCCGCACTTGGCCTTGTTGAACCTCATGAGGTTCACATGGGCCCATTCACAAGCTTGTCCAGGTCCCTTTGGATAGGATCCCATCCCTCGAGTGTATCAACTGCACCGCTCAGCTCGGTGTTGTCTGCAAGCTTGCTGAGGGTGCACTCAATCCTACTGTCTATGTTGTTGGTGAAAATATTCAAGAGTACTGTTCCCAGTATGGTCCACTGAGGGAGAAAGCTTGTCACCCATGTCCATCTGGACATTGAGCCATTGACCACTACCCTCTGGATGCGACCATACAACCAATTCCTCATCCACCGATCATCATCCATATTTCTAATTTCCACCAACTGGAATTATAAAAACAATGGAATCCCTCTGTCCTGTATTTTAGAAAGCTAAAATTTAAAATATTTGGCCTTTCACTTGCAACAGAAATCCATGTTTGACATTGTCCATTTCAAATTAGGTTAAGAGGAGGTGGTAGTCTTCTATGATGCAGTGAGACTCAGATACTGTGATAAAGCTAACCTCAGTAAGTAAGGCAGTTTGGAGGAAATACATGATTTCCAGAATTTCAGTTTCTGAAGGACCCTTTCTAGTCCTTCTGGATCCCAAACCTGTGGATGAATGTGAAGATGGTACTTTCTCTCCTCTTTTAAGCCTTGCCCATTGTACCTCACTGAATCCAAGAATTCCATCATTCATCCTTCCTTGATGCTAGAAAAGGAAAGAGAGGAAATGAAAAGAGTGATAATCTATGGAATGTTTTTCCTCAAACATTTTCAGCTTGCCCAAACTGCTCAACTCTCAGCTGGACCCTTTCTGAAACACCATCCATACTGAAAGCTGCCAGCTGTGAAATCTGAAAAGCAAATTTCTCTAATATCAACTGGGAAATGTAAAAATACACCCCATTTTGTGACGTGTGATAAATTCCTGAAATGGCTAAAGCCCAAAGGGCAGCTCAGACTTTGACATCCTAAAGATCCAAACTCAGAATCACTGTGGATAAAATACACTTCAGCAGCCCATCTCTGTTACACAGTCTTTCAGCAATTTCTCCAACTTCCTTCTCACTCCATTGCTATCATCGAACATTGTCAGTCACTTGGTCTACTTCTCTTGATCCAGATAGGAGAGAACTTAGCACATACATCCATTTTCTCTTTTTTTCACCAACCTGAGTAGAAGGAAAGAAGATGAGAGAAACTGTTCTACTTTGAAAAGAGGGAGAGAAAAAAAAGAGACAAATAAAATATGCTTTTAGCTTCTCCCAGAGGAAGATACCTCACTGTCTCCCTCTCCAGTTATCTCCACTGCTTACAGTATATCAAAACTGTGACTTGAATAACATGAGGACAAAGAATAACATGCTTCTCCTTAGGTGTCTCAGGAAGGTACTGGAAAGAGCTGTACATTAGTTTGTACAAAATATCAGTTTGTTTTGGTTGTATATTATTGGATTTATGTGGCAAGGTTTTGGTAGCAGAGGGTCTGCAGAGATGGCTTCTGTGAGAAGTCATCATGGGCTCCCCCTGTGTTGAACAGAGCCACTGTCAGCTGGCTCCAAGACGGACCTGCTGCTGGCCAAAGCTGAGCCAGTCAGTGATGGTGATTATGCCTCTGTGATAGCATATTTAAGAAAGGGTGAAAACCGCTGTGTGGCAGCTGTGAGAGAGAAGTGAGAAAATGTGGGAGAAGTAACTGCAGTTACTAAGGTCAATGAAGAAGGAGGAAGAGGAAGTAGGTGTTCCAGGTGCCAGAGCTGAGATTCTGTGACAGCCTGTGGAGAAGACCATGGGGACATAGGTTGTTCCACTGCAGTCCATGGAGGACCACAGTGGAGCAGATATCCTCCCTGCAGCCCATGGACGACCTCACATTGGAGCAAGTGTATATGCCCTGAAGGGAGCGGCAGCCTATGGAGACCCCACACCAGAGCAGGCTCCTGGCAGGAACTGTGGCCTGTGGAGCAGAGCCCACACAGGAGGAGATATTCTGGCAGGACCTGTGGCCCATGGGGGATCCATGCTGGAGCAGTACAATCCTGAATGAGTACACACATAGAAAAGTCAGGAGTGAAGTTGAACTAGGGAAGAGGAAGGGGTTGTGGAAAGGTGTTTTTAATTTTGTTCTATTTCTCAGTATTCTGCTCTGTTATTAGCTGGCAATAAATTAAATTAATTTCCCCAAGTTGAGTGTTTTGCATGTCATGGTAATAGGTAAGTGATCTCATCATTATCTTGACCCACGAGTTTTTCCATCATATTTTGTCCCCCTGTCCTGTCAGCAGGAGGAGTGATAGAGCAGCTGGGTGGACACCTGGCAGACAGCCAAGGTCAACCCACCACTGCAAAACAGATAAGTTGTATGATTATATCTTTTTCATTCAGTAGCATCTCCATACATCCTATCAGATGATAGCCTTCACCTTGGCTACCTTGTATCTATGCCATCACTGGTGTGTTGGGTAGCCCAAGCAGTACTAATTTGTCAGCTTCCCTGTGGCTTTTGTCTGGCAGAGGACAAATGGATTTGTCTGAAGTCTTTGGACGTGGGGAGAGAAACAGGATCTGACATACTAGGCTGAGACCAAGGCCCAGTGAATATGGAATCACTTACCACCTGAAGCCTAAGCTCTTCATTGCAGGTCTGGTAGTCTGGAATACCTTTTTTCTTTATCCCAGAACAGGTCAGGTGGGGTAGAACTGTTTGGAGCCTGAGAGACAGCTCATCTTAGCCTACCTTAGCACTGCATTTAAGAGTGCTCTTCTCTTCCCATCACCTCTTATTACAGAGAGGTCTGTCACACTATTTCCATGCAGAGGTCGCAATAGGGAACAGAGTGTTTGCATGCATGTTGTATGCTTAGTATGTCTTCAGTGCTGTCAGTGAGCCACATAGTGCTGCTATTAGATATAGTCACTAGTTGAAGAGTGCTTAGTTATAAAGAACGTTAAAGAAAAATGGCATGGAGGTATCCAAATTGGAAGAATTCTTGACCTCTGGCATAATTTTCTCAGAATTTTTCATATTGAACATCGCCTTAGAGTGTTCTTCTTGTAAGTGTATTAGTTAGCAAACCATTCAAGTGGAAAGTTGTTGGTGCAGTTGGGAGCTTAGCTATTCATCTTCTCGTGTCTTTGTGTAGCTTCAATAGATCTTCTCTGCCTGAGGAAAGCAAGACAGCCTACACATTCATGTCATACCTCTGTATTCTTTTCTCTGGCACATTTGTAGAGCTACCTTCTGTCAGCTGTCTGTAAGCACATAACTTGTTGACCGGGCTTTGACATTTATAACAAGAAAGAAGAAGCCCCAAATGAGAAGATGCCCTATGCATAGGCAAAAATTATGATTTTTGATAATAAACATAAAAAGGTATTTAAGTTTTCTTTCATACTTGTTTCTCATATTTGATTTTGTGTTTTAGGACTTAAGAGATCTTCTCTGGGATATCTGTGATAACAGAAGGGAAGAAGCAGAGCAGGAACGTACTGATATCATGAATGATGGCTGGTTACCAGATCATAGGGGGATTGCAATGAACCATTTCTTCTCACTTATGCAGGTATGGATCTACTACAGAGTCTACAATGGAAGGGGACAATGAATGAACACTAAGAGGTGTTTTGTATGGTTATCTCCAAATAAGTGAGGGATTGAGAGTTAGATAAGCAAATGTTCATGCCTCTTCTGAATTTGTCTAGAAAGTTAAGAGACAAAAAGTAAATGCCATTCCATACATTTAACTGTCAGGCAAAGAAATTTAAGAAAAACACCATTGTTCTTGTTCAACCTCTAAACTTTCAATCTGTAGTGTATAGTGGTACTTTTTGCAATTTTATCAGTCCAGTGAATCAACTGACTTTTGTAACAGAAATGTTGGAGCTGCTTATCCTCCTGTGGTTATATTGACATTTGCTCTTAATTTGCAAATTACATAATTCACTGCTGTTGTAGACCCACTTGCTGTTAAGGTTGTCCTGTATTTTCCCTATCACAAAATTATTTCAGTTGTAACTTCACCAATGTGGCTTGAAATTTTACCTACAGACTGAAAAAAATAATTGCAAGGAATGTTTCTGAGAATGTGATGCCATTTGCTGCTCTTGAGAAAATCTGTTCAAATATGACCCAGCTTTCACACATCTAACTTTAAAGTTTTCAAGAGACTATCTTCAATTAGTTGGCTCTCCCCTTCCCCACAGTATGCCTTTCCTCTCATTCAGCGTGACCATTACTTACTTCAGTTCCTGAAGTGAAGATTTTCCTGTGACTGCTGTTCTAGGTGCATAAATTTGGTTTCAGGCTGGACTGAAATAGACTAGAGCAGGCTAGGCAGGCTTTTCGCTATACTGAGTGACCACTCTTTGAAAGTTTTGGCAACTTTAAAGACAAAAATGAAAAAAATGCTTTAAACACATGCCATTTGATACTAATTTGGCTGAAAAATCAGGCCTAAGCAGCTTAGGGTGGGCTTCCTGCCCTTTATTCTCTGTGTTATTTTTATATGTTTAATAAACAAGGGAACCAGTCTCTTGTCTCATATGAGTGTTGTGGTAATTTAAGTAAAGTTTGTGAAGTAGTCAGTTGCTATAATAAAGAAATTATTAACTGTTTCAAAGAGTCTAAGTAATGTCCTAAATAAAGACTTAAGGCCACTGACTAAAGAGAGAAGTCAAAATATCAAATAACTGCTAACTGAAACACATTCTTCCTGTAACTAGGATATTTATAGGACTGAGTATTTTAAAAATATATATCTTAAATTACATGCATAAGGGAGCCAAATTAAAGTAATATTGCAAGCTGAAGTATTTTACTTTTCTCCTTTTATATTCATGTATAACTTTGCAATCCTTGTTCTAGTCTAGCCAAATTTCATGGACATGTATGATTCAGTCCAGATGAGATTCACTATGAATCTAATTTGATCTGTCTTGTGTGGATATGCAGGATATTCTTTTAAAATTAAAAATGCATGTATTAGCCATATATAAGATTTTATTTTCCTAAAGAAAAATGCAAATGAAATAATTTTTACATTCTTTAGTTAGTATATACTCCCCAAAATAAATGAGTTATTAATGCTAAAACTACAGAACTAAAAATATACTAAATATACCTTTATGTTAAGGCTTTGTTTGAGAAGCAGGCAAAAATAGGCTTCTTTGGTCCTGAGCTCTCTGTGGGTTTTTCTGTGGGAACTTACATATATTCCCCAGGTGCCTCTGTTACTGTATAAACACATAGTTTTGTGTAAATGCCGTTTATCAGATTTATTTCCACCTTTCTGTGTACACACCGTTATACTAGAAGATACTTTCTCCTTAACCTATGGATAAGTGCTGGTTTACACCACAAAGGTTTTATCCTTTGTTTTGTGAATGTGGTTTTCTGCATTTTCCCATGAATATTTAGTACTGTTTTGTCGGTTAGAAACTAACGCCACACTGTATCAATAAATCAAAACATGACAGGTGTTAAATGCTTTTTGACTCTTACTTGATTTCTTCCAAGACACTTCACAAAAAAAAGGATCTTCCAGACACTTAGGTGTGTAAAATCTGTTGATTTCTTCGTCCAGAAAAACTGTATGGCTTTTAAAATTTTCTCCATCACTTAACCGTTTTTATTTTATACTATTAAGGTTTTTATTTCTTTTGAACAAAAAGATCCCTATAATTTGTTGGTACTAGTATCCTTGCTACTATAGAAATACATACACATCAAAATACATTGTCATTAAATTTAATGGAACAAACATTTATTGTAAATAATATTTCCTATTCTAACAACTAAAATTTTTATTAATCCTTAGAAATACCAGTGTGAAGATATTATAGATGCAAGTAGATGTGTGCATTGAATACACTATAAATTTTCAAACAAATATGGTTATGTTTGCTGCTCTCCTCAAACTGTTAGGATATAGAATTGCTTCTACTATCATGTATTTAAAAATGTAACAGAAATTTGTACTGTCCTGTTTTGAATTGCAATCTTTGTGTCCTTTCTTCTTGAGGTTGAAGTGGATCGTTTCCAAGATACAAAGAGACTTCTTCATGACTACTACAGGGCAATGGAAGGAAAAATCCCAACAGATGACGGTCAAGATTTTACTAGAATCCCGTTGTTAGATATTATTGGTGTAGAGCAGAAAGAAGATCAAAACAAATCAAGAAGGTAGAAATGCATTATTGAATTAAATAAATATCAACAAATACAATGAACTGATAGCTTTGTGGGTGTATATGGAAATACATGTGTGTACATTTCATGGATGGGGAAATAAGAATTTTTAACTAGGGATTATAGTCAAATGATGAATCTTGAAGCATCTTGTAGGTTTAATTTATCCCTAATTTTTTTACTGATTTACCTATATAATTTTCAGTAATGCATCTCTGACTTATAAAACATTTTCAAACATTCCTTTAAAGAAATCTGCTATAGAAATGTTTCCTACTTCCCTCTGTGTTGCTGACAGTTTCCAACACAATCCTCACATAACTTAAGTTACATATTAGCATGGAACATTACAGATTTTAAATTTGCACCAACAAACATAATTAAATGAGTTGTGTAATGACAAATATAAATTGAAGCAGCCTACAAAGATGCACAGAACTGAATGCCGTATTAAAAAGTAGGGATACCATCAAATAATTTCACAATATCAAAAATATTGTCAACAATGACACCTGCTTTTTTAAAATACTTACAGTTCATTTAGAAATGGCACATCAAAGTAATAAGGCTGTGCTTCTAGCCCATGTAGAGTATGGACTTGCAGATCATGCAACCATTTTGATTTCGTTTTATCCATCTATTATTATTGCTTAGCTTCTGCAGTTAAACTAGACAGTTTTCTTGACATCCACACACTTCACCACTTTTGGTCATAAGGAAAGTTCATCCCTTTTCTGTTGCTATGGCAAACTTTGAAAATAGCATTCTCATTCTGTCAGCATATTCTCCAATATAGTTATAAATTAACACTTTTTATAAAGGGGTGTGTGAATTATGCCTTATATTTTATTTTTAAGGATTCCTTTAGTTTCTTGGAAACTGCCTTCACCAGAAATAAATATTACCAAGTCAAAAAGCAAGGGAGCTCTACAGAAGAGTGCTAAGGATGAGAATTCTGTAAATGGAGCGGCCACTTTTGGGAAAGATGAAAAACTTATTACTGATACATGGCAAAGAGCAGTAACAGCAGTATCAAATATGGTAAGGAATGTTTTATTTACTTAAACATTTCTGCTTGGACAGTCAAAGCCTCCCATTCAGTAGGCAGCCTGAACACACAGCCTTCACACTGTGTATCTCAAGTTCATGCCTCTTGCTCCACCACTGATATTTCCATTGAATATGTTTGTCTTTCTATGAGGAAGATACTGGAATCTGTGTATTATAAACTCTGTACTTGTAATTGACCCTTTCATTCCGTTACTGAGACAAATACTTTGAATGTTGTCTGTATATAGATCTACTTCTTCCATGATATATTTTCCCCTTATCCCTCAACAGAAGCATGAAAAGAGGGACAAACTTTATCTTGTGATGCAATGTTTGCTCAAACCTTTGACAACTTCAAAAGCTATGATTACATTCTTTTTCATATATAGCTAAAAGTCAATTAAATCAATTAAAGTTTTTCAAATGGTTGGTTTCTAGGTTTGCTTTTTTTCCCCCTTTTGATTATTTTAAATAAGTGAATTTCTGCACCCTTACGTCTTGCTCTGCATTTTGTTTATTCTTACATTTCTCAGGTTTTCCTAGAGTACAGGTAATGGCTTACAGGGATTAAACCCAAAATCTCGCTGTCTTGCATTTTTGCTGTAGAATTTTATTTCATATATTTATATATTTTAATAAAGTATTTTGATATAATTACACAATTATATATATCCTTTGTTTTATTTGTGTGTGTATGTCTCAGCAAGTACTTTCAGTAAGTATAGGCTATTTAAAACCACAGTTGCACAGTGTTGATACTATTTACTATGTGTGACTATGGTGTCAAGGTAACAGCGGAAATACAGTCTGAAGAAATGGAGGAAGAAAAAGAACATCAGCAACTAGAACTGAAAGAAGATCTGAAATCTTCACAGACACTGTCAGGCAAAGCTACTGGGAAAGGTGCCAAAGATGCCAAAAAGCTTTCTCCCACATCAGCTACTAAAAAGAAAGGTATTTGAAATGCAGACTTTGTTTTAGCAATGTTTGAAATTACTGAAATGTAAATACGTCAGTAATACAGAAAAGAGTAAGGCAAGACATTTAATTTGGATTTAATTTATCTTTTGAAATGTCAAATATGACAGATCGATGTGAAAAGCTGGTAGTGATAAAGGAGTGCAGTGGCTTTTGAATGGCAATTGCATTTATTTAATCATATGTGTTGTTATTATTATGTAGGAATCAATATTCTAAATAGAACCTAGAAAGTAAATATTAATTTTTCCCCATGTGCTGTTTTGGAATTGAATAGTTAGCATTAGTTTATCAAAACAAATACATTTTCATTAAATTCTCCCTACTTTCCAGCCAGAAGTCAAAGTATTTCAAATATTAAAATAAAAGTACTGGAATAGAATGGATAAATTATCCAATACTCTGAGTTACTTTGGAATGAATTTATAAGGCATATAGTAGTATGGATCTATCAACATCCATAATTTTTATATATAACTGTAACATGGTGTAAATAAAGAACATAAAACCTAATGGCATATGCAGTCCTAAAAAAGACTAGACTCCCGTTGAGGTGGATCTTACTCACAGGCCTGGCAAGAATCTGTCCAACCAGGTGAGAATACAAAATTTATTCGCAAAATAGAAACAGACCTGAAAAACCCCTATCTCTTTAGCCTAGCAATTCAGGCAGTCTGCTGGAAAGCTGGCATGCAATGCTGTTTATACATTTTTTTTCATAAATACTTCCTTGAGCAGGTAACATTTTAAGTAACTTCCACTTCTTTCTGCAAAACATCATAGCTCCAGCAGGAAGCAAGGCTAGTAGCCTAAACCTTTTATCTTTTGTAAAGACATTCTACATAGCAAGAGAGGGGCTTAAGTCCTGTGGGTGTGAGGGTAGCCTGAAATTCAGGTACTCCATTTCCAAGTGAGAAAGCTGTAACTGGACTTATTATGCATAAAGTGGCTGACTTTTTTTCTTTGACAGACATTTTATTTGCACTGTACTCAGTGCTCTCTTTGGTTGATTCTGCTCATGGTACAGTGAACAAGTATAGCCCTGCAAATGCTTAACCACACCTTTCTTAGCTTAGACATCTAATTTGTGAGCACCAGGAAGTCTTAGGTGTGTGTTTAGCATCTCAATCCAGCCAAGAGAATATGACATTTTCAGATTTCTAGAAAAGCTTTGTGATAAAAAATCAGCAGCTATGACCTATTGTATACTAAGTGGCTAGGTTGAGGTTTGTGACTTGCTCCTTGGAACTAAACTTTTATTCAGACCTGGTTCTAGACAACCTACCTGGAATCACAAAACTATAAAGTGACAGAACTGCAGCTAGAATTCAACTGTATATTCCTTATGGTAGAAGATAAGTATCAACTGATGTATCCATAACTGAAGTATCAACTTAGATTTCATGCCAAATACAGTGCTACTGTAATGCTCTTGTAATAGAATAATTTCCTAGGAAACAGATATAGCTAGTAACTGGGTGATACAACTTATCACATGTTATTTTATCACTTCTAGATTTGACATTTGCTTTATGTTGACCTTACGTATCATGCAAATGTCATTATTTTTTTCTGTAAAAGCTCTATCTGCTCTTTTTCTATGACAAAACAGTTACAAGTATATTAATATTTTTGAGTAATAGTCAGTGTTGTGTCTGCAGAATTTCATGCAATCTTTAAAAACATGATAAAATACCTTTACAGTGTCTTTTCAGAGATACTTAAGTTAAAACAAGCTGCAAAGGCAGGTAACAAAATGGTTTAGAAAGGCATGAAATAACATACCTCTCTTTTTTTTTTTCTTCTGACTTGTTATGATTTTTTTAAGTAGCATTATTTTCCTTTTCACTGCTTTCATGGTAACCAATGATATTTACTAACATAGCATTTTTACTACAGTTTGCAAACCTGAATTTGCTCCAGAAGGAACAGCTGTCATTCAAAAGAAGTTTATTTGTGTGCTGGTTGTGGTGCATTGGTAGATTTTAGGATTAAAGAGAATATTTTGACCATCTAGGATTACAATAGAGGCATACTTACTCAGTCATGATTTTCCATTTAGAAATACGCTTTGGGATGAAATTTAACCAATTTTAATATGCTGGAGTAATTTTATGCAATGTTAATCTTAGCATGTCTTGCAGATGTAAATCACATTTGAAGAAATATAAATATGTTATGTTGACATAAGACACCTCAGTAAACCACCTTTGTATTTTCAAAAACGGTCACATCAAGTATAGTGGAAAGTGCCATTTTTTCATTTAAAAAGTGTGCTGTCTTGTGAGTGCCTGTGTATGGTTACACAAACTTACCAGCAAATTATAAAGACTGTGATAGGCCTATTTTCCTGCAGGGCCATCTTCTACTGCATCTGTGGTTGAAGTCAGTCCAGTTCCTATAAACACAGAAGAATTAAAGAAACGAGAACTGACACTTAAAATAAAGCAAGAATATTTCAGTGCCTTAAAACATGAGGGTATGTTACTATTTGGTTACTTATATTGGGGGGTGATTGTTATTCCTAATTTAGGTAGTGAAATAGTCAAAATTAGCCAGAAACTCTAGGGAAAATGCATGTGTGACTAAGAAAAAGAAGGGGAGAAAAAGAAGTGTCCGGAGAAATCAGGAATTTTTTTAGGGTGGTAGTCACCAGTAATTTTGAGGTAAATATATTTAGAATAGAAATGTGTTTTTCATTTTTCTTTTTGTTCTCTTCTGTTTCATTTAATTTAATTTCATTTTCCATGACTAAGCAAGTATTCATCAGGAGAGAATATTTCACATAGGTGGTTAGCCACTTTTCAGTATTCAATTGAATTGAATTCAGTATTTGAAATGTTTTGATCTGTGAAAGAATTTGTTGGAAATCATGTATTCCATTGATGCTCTTCTCTCTGATTCCTTCTTCCTCAAGCCGCATGGGATTCAAGCAGCAAGACACAGTTTGTTTGTTCTTCCAAATTCCTTTCCATACACCCTTCCAAAAATGATATGTTGTTCAGTTGTTCTGTCTCTTTGTCTGTCTCACCCAATAACTTCCAAGCCAACTGGTTAATTTCAGCCAAAAGTAGATGCCTGAAAAACAGAAGTCCCAAACTGAAAAAGGCTTAAAATTTTCTTTTGAAGATGAAATAGAATAGAAGAAAAAGACCTCTTTCTCACTAAAGGGAAAGTAGAACCTAGCTGTTAGAGATTCTGTTTAGCAACAGTTGGCAAGCCCATCATCATGTATGTTACCTCCTTGGCAGGCTAACTTTTGCGTAGTATTTATTATGAAATGTAGAGGGCAAACAGTGGTTAATGAATGAAACCCAAACTCATAAGGCTTCATTAGGTCCACATCAGACGAAATGCTTATACACCTAACACTTTCAACACGGTTTAATCCAAAAGCAATTTAGGAATAAATATTCTCAGTTTTTGGGATAATGAGAGGAATGGTAGCAACTTTGAAGATCTTAATAATATGAAGACAAATTTTAGTGATTCCTTGACAAGTTTTGTTTTCTTGAGGTTGCTTCATTTTCGTCTTATATTTAACAAAAAAGCCAAGATTTAGAATCATAGGATCATAGAATCATTAAGGTTGGAAAAGACCTCTAAGATCATCAAGTCCAACTGTCATCCCAACACCACCATGCCCACTAAACCATGTCCTGAAGTGCCATGTCTACAGATTTTTTGAACACCTCCAGTGATGGTGACTCCACCACTTCCCTGGGCAAGGGGTCCTCCTCTGGTCCAACAGGTCCATGTCTTTTTTATGTTAGGGGCTCCAGAGCTGAACCACAGTACTCCAAGTGGGGTCTCAACCAGAGCAGAGTAGAGGGGCAAAATCACCTCTCTTGACTTCCTGGTTACACTTCTTTGGATGCAGCCCAGGATACAGTTGGCTTTCTGGGCTGCAAGCATACATTGCCGGGTCATGTGGAGCTTCTCATTAACCAATACCCCCAAGTCCTTCTCCTCAGGGATGCTATGAATCCATTTGCTGGCCAGCCTGCATGTGTGCTTGAGATTGCCTTGACCCATGTGCAGGACCCTGCACTTGGCCTTGTTGAACTTCATGAGGTTTGCATGGGCCCACTTCTCAACCTTGTCAAGGTCCCTCTAGATGGCATCCCTTCCCTCCAGATGTTGACTGCACCACACAGCTTGATGTCGTCAGCAAACTTACTGAGGGCGCATTCAATCACAGAATCATAGAAGAAGAATTTGGGTTCGAAGGGACCTTTAAAGGCCATCTAGTCCAACCACCCTGCAGTGAGCAGGGACATCTTCTAACTAGATCAGATTGCTCAGAGCCCCATCCAACCTGACCTTCAAAGTTTCCAGGGATGAGGCATCTACCACCTCTCTGGGCAACCTGTGCCAATGTTTCACCACTCTCATTGTGAAAAATTTCTTCCTTAGATCTAGTCTGAATCTGCCCTCTTTTAGTTTAAAACTATTATCCCTTGCTAAAAAGTCTGTCTCCATCTTTCTTAGAAGCCCCCTTCAGATACTGAAAGACTGCAATAGGGTCTTCCCAGAGCCTTCTCTTCTCCAGGATGAACACAGAATCACATCCTGCTGTCCATGTTGCTGACAAAGATGTTGAACTATGCCATCCCCAATACTGACTGCTGAGGAACACCATTCATCACCAGTCTCCACTTGGACATCGAGCCATTCACCACAACTCTTTGAGTGCAATCATCCAGCCAATTCCTTATCCACCAAGTGGTCCATCCCTCAAATCCCATGTCTCACCAATTTAGAGACAAGGATGTCATGCAGGGCAGTGTCAGATGCTTTGCACAATTCGAGGTAGATGACATTGGCCTCTCTTCCCTTATCCACCCATACTGTAACTCCATTGTAGAAGGCCACCCGATTTGTCAGGCACAATTTGCCCATAGTGAAGCCATGTTGGCTGTCACCAATCACCTCCTTATTTTTGGTGTGCCTTAGCATAGTTTCCAGGAGGATCTGCTCCATGATCTTGCCAGACACAGAGGTGAATCTGACTGGAAATAACATTAAAAGAACAGGCCATATATTTTTCAGGGTCCATCTTTCTACGATTGTTGCCCAAAGAAAGTTTCAGCCCCAAACCTAGGTATTTTGGAAACTTTGTAGCTTACAGAGTAAGGATTATAATGTAAATGATTTTACAGTCTTTAACTGTGAAGTCGCTGAACCAATTACTATATAATATTAATTGTTTAAAAGATTCTGCAGTACAGAAGGTAAAATATGAACAAAAATCAAGTTGAATACTGACTTTGCCTTCAGGATTGGAAATAATCTCTTGCTACTGGTCCTCTTTTGTTGCTCTTCTTTTGGAAGGCTTTGAATGTCTTTCAGTGCCTGTTCCATGTGTCTCTCAATACAGGACCTTAGTTGTCTTTTCATCCAGTTGGGATCCTTTTCACTTTGGACATTGCTGACTTGTTCCCATTTCTTATCCTTTTAGCTCCTTTTTTAAGTATTAATGTCTCAATGAGAGACTGGGTTTTTTTTCCTCAGTTCTTCGCATTTGGAAAACTAATAATGAAATTCTCAGTATTTTTAAAAGTTTCATGTAACTACACTATGCATAATTTTGGTAGAGGTGTGACTAACCAAAACTTAGTGCTCACTAATCAAACTCTTTTCTAATGCAACCTGAGTTTTCGGGTATAAAACAGTCACATGTAGGAAGCTTGGAGTAAATCCTGTGAGGTTAATTTTAAACGGCTGGAAAAACAAACTTTTATTGTCATTAACATGTATAATGATTTAGATGTGTTTTCTTTAAAATTTATCTACACCAGAGTACTCATACTTGCATCATTAACTTCTGTGTCTGTTGCTGTATAGTGTTAATTTAGTTCAATGTCACTGTCTACTTAAACATCCCCGGTACCTCTATATTAGTTTTATTAAGATATTTGTTACCTTGTAAATTCTGATGCTTATAGAAGACACGCTTTTGTAAAAACCATGGTGCAATAGGGGTGATTCTGAAAAATAATTTGTTCAAGAATATAAGAAATTAAATAAACATTTTACTGCATAAAAACAGGTTAAGATGTTAAAATTCAGGTGCTTAGGACTGAGAATTTTCCTCAAATTTTATAAGTATTGATTATTATGACATTACTTTTTAAACAGAGATAGCCACAATATCTCGACTAGAACTTATAAAAGAAAAAGCTTTAGCATTTGTTCAAGAGTTAACAATGAAAGCAGAAGAGGCTTATAAAGATATGGAAAAGTGGTTTGGATCCAGGTTCTTGGCAGAAATGTCCAGGTAATGTATATCTAATTTTAAACAGGAACCTTTTTTTTCAAACTAGACTATGCTAGTAAAGATACTTGTTTATATAGAAACAAATAATTTGAAAAAAATATGTAGAAAATAATAATTTAATTTCATAAACTGGAATTTAATTTTATCTTAAATACATGAATGGTAATGCCTAATTTCTTTCATGATTAGAAGGTCCTGCTGGCAGCAGCAGTAGAGGTAATTATCAGTTCTGCTGTTTTTCTAGACTACAGATTTAGCAGATTTACGAGCATCAGCAGACAACCAGTTATGCCATTTAGTAGAAACCTCTATATCATTTCAGTGGCTTCTGTCACTTTGGATTGTGGGTTTATTTTCTTTCCTGTGCTTTACACATGCCAGAAAATTCCACCTGCTGTTATTACATGTATAACATGTATAACATTTCTCAAAATTATTTCAAGGTCCATTAAAAAAAAGGTTCTTCTTTGCAGTTTTTCTGCCCTGGTAAATAAAATGTGCTTGGGACCACTCTGACACTTAGGCCTTCTGGGATAGAATGACCTATGTTCATACCATTAGATTTTTACTCTCCAAAACAGAGGGGTCACATTGCTTTTGGAAAATGTTTCTGGCCCATTCTAACTTTTGAAGCATACCTGGACAGTGCTAGTGGATCCATGTCAGGGCAAGCCCAAGACAAGAGACATGAATTTAGGCTCTAACACCCAATAACTCAAAGAGGCTGAGCCTCTGCCTTTCAGACAGTTTTATTTGCTTTCCTGACAACACGCACTACCAAAGACACAATATTTACAGAACATCATGTCCTTTGACCTGACACCCCAGGTGAAACCTATGACTAGTTGAATGT